GGAACATTTATAAGAAACGCGACCGTTCATCACGCTGGTAAAATGGGCTGTGGTTATTACATTTCTATAAAGCAGAAGGATACAATTATCAAAGAGGAGATATTAAGATCAACATCTGGTAAGACACAATATTTTTTAAAATAAGATAATATAAAATTAAGAATAAATATAATAAGCAACTAAAGCAATAAAAACTAGAAGACGGAGAAAGAAAATAAACAAGGTAAAACAATTCCATCAGGCACACGAGTCAAGACTAAAAGGAAGTAAGAGAACAAAAAGATCAAATGCAGTGATATAACAAATTCAATTTAATGTACGTACTTCAAACAAGATGAAAAAAAAAAAAATGGAAGAAACAGAAACAGCTTCGGAAAGCTTTTTTTTTCTTTTTAATTTATGACTTTCGTTTATAGCTCTGTAAGTTGTGGTAGTTACGGAAGGCCAGCAAACCTCTTCTTAAATGTCTTATGTAACTTTGAAATGTAAGTCTATAGCCTCATGCTGAAGGTAGGTATCTCCAGGTATTTGTTTATTGCTTAACCTTCTGTTAAAGAGGCTGCCAAGTAACTTTGGCCCAACTCCAGCGGTTCTTCCTTGGCAGCCGCCGTGGTAGTGCGGAGCCTGCGCCCCATTCCTGCCCAGCGGACCCCCAAGTCCACCCTTCGCTCTTGCTGTTTTAATGAAGGCATCAGTTTTCAAGAGAAAATGCATAATTGACTGAATCATGTGCAAATCACACCCATGCCTGGGGAATTCTCGCTGGGTAGTCCACAAAGGGAGCTGCCCAGTTTTCAATTGCAGCATCTAAAAATAATCCAGAGTAGGCACAAGTCAGGTTCCCAGAGGACTGACTGTTCCCTCTGTGCCTTCTCGGATCCAGCAGCAGCCTGTACTCTCTTTAGGTTTAAAAACTCCGCTTTGTTTTTAACCTTCATTTATTCAAGTCTCTCTTTATCCGCCACTTGTAAGAATTGCCACCTCTCCCCAGTAAGAGCCCCTGGTGCTGCGGAGCGCGCTCTGACCCCCGGTCTGAGACCTGAGCGAGGCAATGATGAATTAGTTATTCCCGATAATGGACTTTTTCTAAACCTTTAGCCTTGAAATATTTTGAAACTTATAAACCTTCAAATAAATGTTAAGTTAAAGCAATATTTTTATTAAACGATATATATTCATTTTAAAAGCTTGGAAATACAGATAAGTAAGAAGAAAAATAAAAACCATTTAATGTTATTACCTAAAGATAAATTCATTGACATATTGTAATAGGTCCTTTGGGTTTTGGGTTTTTGTGTGTGGATGTACGCTTTTGTTCACTGTTTTAATATTCAACAGGTTTTTACTGTGCGTGGGCCATGCCCTAGGAACCAGGTATAGGGAAGATGGCATTAGAAAAACAATAAGTCCCTCCTTTCATGGAGCTTACATCTGAGTATCTTTTATAAAAACTGGAATCATTTCACACTTAAAATCTTGAAACCTGCTTTTTATTCATTTGAAATATACATTACATGTGTTTGCATGCTAAATATAGATCAATGCAATAATTTTAAATGAGTAATAGTTTAGCATTTGAATGTTCCGTAATTATTTTATCCAATTCCATAATTATAAATAGTTTCCATTGTTTTTTGCTATTACTGTATAAACAACGTTTGGAGGAATTTTGTACCTTGGCACATGTATTCAATTATAATAATAAGATGAATCTCATTCTCCAGTGTTTTGAGTCCTAGATCATAGACCTCTTTCCCAGCTAATATGTAGGTCGGTCTACTTTATTATGATCTTTATATTTTCTTGTAAGATAGTCTAGTATTTAAAAGCATTTTCCTACTGATTGTTATTATAAACAGTGAAGCAATTATATTCTTGTGCATGTACTCAGGCACAATTATATGACTAGTTGTTCCTTTATTTGATTAGATTTTAAATTGAAGTACATGCCTGGCATGAAAATAATAAGTAGAGCAGTATATTAAAGGAAAAGCATCAATTCCATCCTACCCTTTCTCCCCATCCCCAGGTTGACGCCCTGGGGGTAAACCACAACAATGCTTTCTCTCAGGAATTTCCTCCATGCATGCATGCTGTAGGCACTACATGATGTTTTTGTTTTTGTTTTTAAATCCTCCCCCAAGGATAAGTTTTTATTTTTTTATTGCAATTTTTAAATATGTTTTTATTGATATTTATTAGAGAGAGAAGAAGGGAGAGAGAGATAGAAACATTGATATAAGAGAGAAACATCAATCGGCTGCCTCCTGCACGCCCCCTACTGGGGATCGAGCCCTCAACCCAGGCATGTGCCCTGACCAGTAATCAAACTGGGACCTTTCAGTCCATGGGACGATGCTCAGTCCACCGAGCCACACTGGCCGGGGCTGTGCTGTGTGTGTTTGACCATACGTCATCCGTGCTCTCTCTCCTTTGCCACGATATCCTGATTTTTAGGAGTACCCACTCTTTCTCCACGAAATCTGCTCCTGCTGCTCTGGCTTCTTTGTCCCTCAAAATGAATTAAAAATATTCCAGCTTCAGGGCCTTTGCACTAGCCACTGTCACAGCCTGGAACGCTTATCCCCAGATTTCCACAGCTCCCTCCTTAACCCTTCAGGTCTTTGTTCAACGTCTCCCTTGTCAGTGGGGTGTCCCTCGTTGCTCCGTCTGCAGTGGCAGCCCCCGCCCCGTGCCTCCAGCGCCCTTCTTGGTTCCCTCCCAGGGTACTCTTAATCACCTGATGTTCTACACACCTGTTCGCACTGGAATCCCTCATTAGGATGTAAGCTCATAGCCTCAGTGCTAAAATAATATTAACATGATAAATAAATGTATTATTAACATAACAAATGAATGGCAGTGAAGGGACCGGTCACCATAGCTGTGTGATCTTGGACAAATTTCTTAGTGTGTGTAAGCTTTAGTTTCTTTACCTGTGAAATAGAGGAATTAAAAGTAATTACTTTATACGGTGTTATGATTCACAAAAGTTTTGTTACATGTTTTTAAACATAGCTAGCATCAACATATCTTTCCTTTCTCCTCCTCCTCCTCCTCTGCCTCCTCTCCCCCTCCTCTTCCTCTTCTTTTTCTCATTCTTGTTACTATTAGAAAGTAAAAAGCATGACCGGGTTATTTTTCTTCCCTCGAGGTCCAGCTTGTCGCTTAGCTCACGAGTATCTGCAGCAGGCTGACCCCTGCTGCCAGCAGACCATCCTCGCATCCAGGGCAGGCAGCACCCAGGTGCTCTGCTGCTTTGTGGCACCAGGGGGACCCGGCACTCCTGGGCGGTGGTTTGAACACAGGGACACTGCCGTCTCCTTCTACACTCTGTGGGACAGCTTAGGGGTGGGTCCAAGATTAGAGTCACTTATGATCACAAACACCTGAAACCTGGGATAGCGCCAGTGAGTTTTTGGGGGGCCACACTCTTGGCTCATACACTGAAAGTAGATGTTTCATTCCTAGTTCAGAGCATTCAAAGATAAATTAGCAGAGGAAGAACCCCACTTGGCTCCTTGGGATTCACGAAAAGAAGAAATGACCCATTCATGTTTCTCCTAGACTAATTCCCAGGCACCTCCCGCCAAGACTCCATCCCGCTCCAAGTTCATTTCATTACCACATTTTTCACTCATTCAGCAAAGTTTTTTTTTATTTAAGAAACAAAAGCTAGAGGGAAGTCACCATGAACTCTGCCATGAGGCATCTTTCTGCCTAAAGACAGTTATTACAACTAATCATAAAAATCAGAAAAGCTATTTATTGAGAATTTCTGTTGTGTTAGGCAGTCTGCACAGGAACTCAAATTCAAAATGATAGCAGTGTAGGAGATAAGAAAACAGAGATTCAGAGAAGTTACCTATCAAGATCCCAAACGACAGAGTGCCTGAGCCAGGACTCCAAGCCGGTGCCACGAACCTCTGAAGCCCACGCCTTTCGCAATACAGTCGGCCCTCGTTTATCGCGGTTAATCAGTTCCAGACTCTACTGCCATAAATGAATTTTCACGAAGTAGGATTCTTTCTTTATACAGTCGTCCCTCGCCTCTTCACGCTTCGACTTTCGTGGCTCCACCCAATTGTGGCTTTTTCAAATATAGTATAGTATTTGAAAAACCGTGATAGAGTGAAGGCGCGATAGTCGAAGCGCGAAGTGGTGAGGGACGACCAGTTTATATTGTCACTAGATATTGTCATCAGGAGAGGAAACTAGAAAGCTTGTCAATATTATGTTATATGGAAACTATTCAGATGCATCCAAGAAGCATTTACCGAGGATGTAGAGCCCTGTTGGGTGTTCAAAGGAGGTAGAACAATGTGAATAAGGTCAAGTCTATAACGTCTCTAGGGGATTGTGCATGAATGTAGTGCAAAGAAATGCTAACGGAGTTGACAGCAGAGACTCTCCTGTCCAATTAGCGAGGAGCAGAGAGGGCATCACAGACGATGTCAGCTGTGCACGCCAGGGGGCTGAGGAGCCTTTAGCGGCGGACGGGGAAGGCCCAGAGGCCTGACGGATTGAATATGAGTGTGAAGGGACTAGACCTGAAGCAGTAAGTAGTCTGACGGGGCAAATACAGAGAGGTTCTCTGGCCAAGGATGGGCGTCTACATCATTGCCAGGAAAGGGGTCAGTGGGGGACTGATGAGACAGAAAAGTTGAGCTGGAAGAGATCATAGCAAAGATGTCACAGGGTGGAGGGGTTGGAGGACAGAATGAGTGTGAATTACTAGGGGAAGGACCTGGGCCACAGCTGACCAGAGGCATGTCATAATAATGGGGAGGTGACTGTGTGTGGAACCAGCCACCCCCAAGGTTCCAGGTGGAACTGTGGAACGGTGAGCACATCATCTGGACGGGCACCGATGTCCTTTACCAGCTACTTAACCTATAATTTTAGAGGGCGTAGCATTCCACCTAGAGGTAGGATTACTTGAAATGGCTTCACCAGAGTGAGGGCCTGGTCTGTGGTCACACCGATGTTGAGGAGCAACGATGGCTTGGCGGTATGACTGCCGGGAAATGTGCCCCAATGGCGGAGTGTTAATGAAAGGTGTAGTCTCCCCAGTTAGCACCGAACCTCAACGATCCGTGAAGGCCCTCTTGCAAAAAGGTGGCCAAATCAGATGCATTTGTTTTTAATGCTCTACTAATAGTTCCTGAAGGTATTTTTCTGAGGTCTCACTGACGTACCACACTGTATTCGTTGTAGGTTAAACGTAATGATTTGACTGCTCCCTGTTCCCAGTGTTTCTCCGAAGGTAGGGAGACCCAAGAAAGACTCTATGGAGGTTCTTCTTTTAGTTGCAGAATTTATTGTTAGTTTAAATATGGAAATAGAAGATAATAAAAGCTGATAGTTATTCTGGTAGAAATTAAAAGTATAATGGCTGCTTAGGCAAGACTACATTATTTTATTATTATTCTGAATTATTTACACATAGTACAATAAAATTCATTATTTGACATTGGAAATGTGTATTAATAACTAGCTATATTTAATTGTATCGTATTTTATTAGGGTGCATTTTGGATAATTTAAGAATATTGGCTTTAAAAGGTGCTTGTTCTTGTAACTACTTTTTTTTCCTTCCTTCACTCAGGCAGGACTTTTTTTATCCTCACCTGAGGACATTTTTTGCATTTATCTTCAGATAGAGTGAGAGGGAGAGAGGGAGGAAGAGAGCAAGAGAAACATTTATGTGAAAGAGACACATTGATTGGTTGCCACCCACAGGACCCCAATCGGGGCCAGGGAAAAACTGCAACCAACGTACTTGCCCTTAGTGGGAACCGAACCTGGGACTCTCTGGTTCGTGGGCCAATGCTCTAACTGCTGAGCCTAACTGGCCAGAGCAGGATTTTTTTTAAAAATTGATATATCATTGGCATACAATAGCCTATTATAGTTTTGATAGCACATAGAAAACATAACTACATGCTTTCATTTTTAAAGTCCCACTGGGAAGGAAAGTTCCCCCAGGTGACGAGGGTCAGTGCTGCTGAGATTGCCCTGTGCTCTAGGGGAAGAGGCGAGGAGGCCGACTCAAGTGGGGGGCGGACTCAAGTGGGGGGCAGCTCCTTCAAAGGCCCAGGCCTGCCCTGAAGCCCTGTCCCAGAGCCTCAGGAAACTTCGCCCAAGGGCTTCAGCTTTCTGAATATTGGAATCTGGTCCCATGAAGATAAGAGTCTTCATGTTGCCTGGCAACTGTGCTGTTCCTTTCTGCCTGGTGCTTGCAGGAGGAGGGTAGAGGAAGTGGGAGGCAGAGGAGATACACCCCCACTTCCTCCTAATACTGCTCCTGTTATTCCCACCGCTGCTACCAACACCACTTCGTCTTGACTACTAGCTAAGATTTGTTGGGCATTTCCTATTTGCTAGACCTTGTTCTGTGGATTTAAATATAATAACTCATTTAAACTTTATAACAACCCATCAGGTAGCTATTATTATCTCCATTTTACAGATGGGGAATCAGGAACACAGCAAAGATCTGTAACTGACATACATTCACAGTACTAGTATCTGGTAGAGTTAAATGGTCTAACTTAATCCAGTTTATTAGACAACTAAAGCATTAACAGTGTATTCTTTTAAAAATATTCCCTGGGCACACTCCAAAGTATAACTCCATAATAAAATTTCCTCTATGGAAACTGAGCAAATAACTGAGTCACTTGGTTAACTTTGACCCTGAAGTATTTTCCGATCTCCCAAAAGAGCACAATTCATTTTTATTTATTTATTTTTAAATAAGGAAGCTTATAGTCAGGAGCATCATGGGGTCATTATCAGCTTCCATGAGCCCTTAGGATTAGGCTCTTTTGTATAATGGTTTAAAGGTAGGTTAATAAACTTAAGAACAAGTTCATGTTTTGCGTCTGGAAATTCTGTCTTGTTTTGCTGTATTGGGTTTCTTTTGAGAGCACATTAAAATGATTTGAATTCTCTGACCCTCATCCACTATATAAAGAGCCGCCAAGCAACAAATTCCAGAAAACCATATTCTTGTTTGCCTACCTATTGTACCTTTTGCTTGGGGCAATGGTACTTGAAGCTATGGAGAAAGACTTTGATATAAATCAGCGAAAGTTGGCAGATAATACAAAAACTGATTTTCTGAAAAATCGTTCTAATATGACTCAAGAAGATGTCGAAGTCTTTGTGCAGGTAAGAGATGAAGCTACAGTTATTCCAGAGTAGAAGACTTCTCTCTATGCAGAGAAGCTGCTTAACGTGAACATTCTGAGAAATACCTTCCTTCACTGAGTACTTTGTCAGGCATATGTAGTACCAATATTTTCTCCTAGGCTGTGGTTGGATTTCAATTTTGTTCATGGTTTCTTTGGAAGAGAATTTTGGTTTCTGTAAACTCCAGTTCATACATGTTTTCTTTTATGGATTATACTTTCTGTGTTCTAAGAAATCCACAGGTAACCAAAGTCAGGAAGATTTCAAGATGTTATATAGTTTAGCTTTTGTATTTGTTGGTTTATATACTGCATTTCACATTAATTTTGGTAAATTGTGAAGCAAGCATCAACGTTTGTCATTTTTAATACATGTTGTTTCAGAATCATTTGCTGGGAAGACTACCCGCCCCCCCACCCCACCCCATGAAATTATTTGGCAAGTTTGTCCAAAGTCAACTGATCCGGCTCTAGTTATGGGTAAGGTGGGGTGAGTACACTCCACTCTTTCTCCCCCACTGCATGTACCTATAAAACCTGGACAGAATATATGAATCAGGTACTGAGGAGTCTGAAAGTAAACAGTCGCAGCTGCAGAGAGGAAGAACCCCGGAACCGAAGCTCGCCCCGCCCTCCCCGTCTGATCTTAACACAGCTACAAACACAGAAGTGAGCAGAGAGTTCGTGCTAGGACAAATCCTCTAGTTCTGACTCAAGGAGCAGGAAAGGGGACTCCTAATGCTCTGAGAGAGTGGAAATCCTCCTTTTTCTTTCTTTCTTTGTTGACTTGCACCCCAGTTCCCAAGCAATGTTGTGGTGGCGGCAGTAGTAACAGCAGCAAGAGTGGGAACACAAAACCCTGTTCCCTGAGGCTGTTGTTTCAAGGCTGGGTCCAAACTCTTTTACTTTTTTTTCTTTCTTTTTCTGTCCTCCTACCCCTTGGCCCTAGATATGGCACAATCATGGAAGGAGTTGATTTCTGGCTGGCAGACCTCGTCCATCAGGAAAAGAAAATAGTGGGGAGATCACAGAGAGGGAGCTGTTTAGGGAAGTGACCCTGTAAAATTGCTTAGATCTGACCTGCACATACATGGGCCTAGTTTTCACACCAAAGGCTTTGAGAACTGAACTAGTGGGTAGACCTGAATCTGGGTCCCAGACCGACCTCTGAGTGATGGACATGTGGGGCAGGTCCAAAGGATACTGCAGAGGCTGTGACAGCTGGACTGACATTGGAACCACATCCCAGGGAACGGGAGTTGGAACTTGCAGACTGAATCTAGACAGGTCGAGGACCTGGTAAAGTCCAAGTACCAACTTGCTCTGTAGGATTTCAGTAAGAGAGTCTCATAACTTCGCATTCAAAACGTACAGGATACAATCCAGAAGTATTCAGCATACGAAGAGCCACAAAAATCTGATAATGAATCCTCTTAGGTTTGGTTTGTCTGAAAAAGGTTATATTTGTGCCTTTTTTAGAAGGACATTTACATTGGTTATATAATTCTAGTCTGGCACTTTTAAAATGTTGTTCTGTAGTCTTCTGGTTTGCCTGTGATAGGAAGCCTGCTTTAATTTTTATATTTGTTGTCTTTATATCCTGCGTCTTTCTTTCCTCTGGTTACCTTTTATTTAGCTCACTGGTTTTTAGTAATGTGAGTATCATGTATATGTTTTGTGTGAAAGAAAGTATGTGTTTCTGTGCCTCTATCAGCTTATGACTCATTGAGTTTCTTGTAACTATGAGTTTATAGTTTTCATCAAATTTGAAAAGTTTCAATCATTATTCTGCCTTTGTTCCTACCCTTTCTCCCAATACACACACTTGATACTGATATATTTTCGGTCTTTTTTTCTCTTTGTGTGATTCAGTTTGGACAACACGTATTGCTATATTTTTATGTTTATTAATTTTTTCTTCTGCTGATGATCCCAGTTGGTGAAATACTCTTTTTTGAGATATTATATTTTTCATATCTAGAATTTCCACTTGGTTACTTTTTAAATATTTCATTTTCCCCCTTATTGTGTCAATGCTTTTTTGTATCTTTGAGCATATTTATAATAACCTTTTTAAGGTTCCTGTCTGCCAATTCCATTATTTTAATGGAATGATTATTCATGGGCCTGTTTATTTTGACTTACTTTTATCCTGGTAATGGGTTACATTTTCTTGATTCTTTGTATGTCTATTCGTTTTTAAAAATTGGATAATGGACATTGTGAATTGTTTCAGGGTGCGTGGTTTTATTATATTTCTCTAAATTTCTTGGACTTTCTCTGACAGGCAATTAAGTGAATTACTTAAACATTACCTTAATTCTTCCAATGTTTGCTTTAAGCTCCTTTCAGACCTAAAGGAGCCTTTTTCTAGGGCTAATTTTGCCGCACCTCTCAGTCACAGCCTTCTCAGGGTTTCTACTACATTTCGTGAGCACAGCATGAGGCCTGTCCACTCCGGCTGAGAAAACCCAAACACTTCCTACCTGTGTGAGCTCCTATGACTTGTTCTGCTTGCGGGCCAGAGTATTTCTCCCATATGTCAGGTAACTGTTGTTGCACAACAACATTGCTACAAACTTAGTCACTTAAAACACATGTATCGTCTTGGTTTCTGTAGGTCAGGAGTGTGAGCACCCCTTAGCTGGGTCCTCTGGGAGACAAATCACGGTGTCAGACAATCTGTGGTCTCGTCTGAGGCTCAAATGAGGAAAAATCTGCTTGCAAACTCCTGTGACTTTTAGCGACATTCGGTGCCTTCAGGCTGTCAGACCAAGGACCCCAGTTCCACGCTGGCTGTGGGCCAGAGGCTCCCTCCCTCCCTGCCACATGGCGCCTTCCATGTGGAAGGTCACAGCATGGCAAAGCCAGCAAGGCAGACAGACACCAGCAAGATTAGCACCAGCCTCGTATAAGCTAATCATGTACACGGAGTCATGTACAGGCTGTCATCTTTGATACATTCTGTGCCACTAGAATTAAGTCACAGGTCCCAGCTACACTCAAAGAGAGGGAGTCACACCAGGGCATGAATACCAGACCATGGGGGCCACTTTGAGAGTCTGTCTGCCACACTCAAGACACTGTTTTTGACCAGCCTCATGAAGTTGCACCCTTTTCGTGTGTGGAATGTCATTCAGCCAAAGACTCAAAGAGACCTCTACGCAGGTTTCTGTGATCCTTTCTCTCTGTAGCTCCCTCCTCTCTGCATCTCTGCCCACAAGTCGCAGGCACCTCAGCTCTACTGAACTCCAATCTCTGTCTCCTCAGCTCAGCAAAATCACCATGCTGTCTTTGGGGTGCCCTTCGTATACCACAGTCTAGAAATGACCTCCAGACAGCTTGGGCAACAGTCGTACTCACCTCATTTGCTTTCCTTCTCTTAGTGACTACAGTTCTGCATTTCCTCTTGTCCAAGGTCTGGAAATAGTTGCTTCCTATATTGTGGGCAGCACCCTGTCTCTTGGGGTTATTTTACGTCCGATTACCACCTCCTTGCCCCATCTAACAGGTCACCCAAGAGTGTTTTTGTTCAACCTCATTTTTATTATATTATTATATAATGTATGCTTAATTTTTGTTTTGATTTACCCACGTTTTATTGATTTCTTTATTTATGCTTAGTTTCAGAGATAATTTTCTTTCCTGTGAAATATCTTTGGTAAATTTTATTCATGAGAGACTGCTAGTGGTAATTAACTCTCTCTCGTGTGTGTTTTGTTCTAAAAGTATATTCATCTAATTTCTTTTAAGATATTTTAGCAGAATATGCAGTACTAGTTGACAATTGTTTTCTTTCAGCGTGGGAGGCACTGTCCCACTATTCCGCGGCTCCCGTTCACTGCGTTTTCTGTCCCTCCAACTGCCCATCGCTTGTAGGCAACTTCTCTCTTCTCTCTGGCGTCAGAGACTTTCTCTGTTTTTATGAACTTCTCTTGATCTCTGCTGTTTTACTGTTTTAATTCAGCACACTAGATAGGACTTTTGTTTTTATTTTCCTTGGGGTTTTCTTCATGAATCTTTTTTTTTTTTTTTATTCTCACCCAAGGACATTTTTGCATTTATCTTTAGATAGAGCAGGAGGGAGAGAGGGAGGAAGAGAGAGAGAGAGAAACATTGATGTGAGAGAGACACATCGACTGGTTGCCACCCACACGACCCCAACCGGGGCCCAGGACAAATGGCAACTGAGGTATGTGCCCTTAGTGGGAACCGAACCCGGGACTCTCTGGTCCGCGGGCTGACGCTCTAACCATTGAACCAAACCGGCCAGGGCAACTTCATGAATCTTTATAGTTGTTTCTTTCATCAGTTCTTGGAAATGCTGAGCCATTGATTCTTTTTAAATGATCAATATGGTTGATCTATTTCTATCCTCTTTTTTAACTTTTCTTTTATATTCTCCACTATTTTGCCTCTTTTGGTGTGTTTTGAGAAATTCTTTAAGGTACATCTTTCATTTACTTATTTTCTCTTTGACTCCATCATGTCTGATGTGTTGAATTTTTAATTTCAACGATTGGGCTTTTCTCTTCTGAAAGTTCTACTTTATCCTCTTTAAATTTGTGTGATCTTTCTTGTTTATGTTGTATTCTTACATGTCTCTAATTTGTTTTGTTTTGTTAAATATTTTAACATATTTTATGCCCTGTGTTCAGTTGTTCAATATTTAAATCTTTAGGATTTTAATTCTGCTATTAGATTTTCCTGTGACTGTTATAGTGGTATTTTTATCTTACTTTTTACATTAATTGGAATCCCTCAATATTTCACTATTAAGCATAAAGCTGCTGGTGTTTGTTACAGTTATTCTGTATCAAATTAAAACACTTTGTTCCTATTTTCAACTTATAAAATATTATTTTATTTTATCTATTTTTGTATTTATTGAAGTCATTAATATTTGGTTTTTATCTTTATTATTTAGTGATTTTTCTATAGTTAAACATTTATTGCACTCCTTTAATCATAATGTATCCTTTATCACTTTGCTAGATTGGATTTAATATTTTATATGGAATTTGTGATTCTATATTTATAGGTACTCTATAATTCCCTCCCTCCCTTCCTCTCTCCCCATCTCCCTCTCTTCCTTTCTTTCTTTCTCCCTGTGCTATTCATGTCTGATCTTGCTATACTAGTGTCAAATCCATACTAACATTCTGTAAAGAATCAGGAAGTGTAGGAAAATATCTTTTAATTATTCTGCTCATTGTATCACTTTCCACTCCCACCTTCCTTTTCTCCTAACCTCTATATTTGAGGTCCCTTGGGGGTGTTTAGGAAATGAAGACATCAACTTCTGTAGCAGGTCATTACTATTACTGTTAAGATTGTAAAGCTGTTGGCTAAGGTTCTTTCATCAACAGAATTCTATGTATTTTAGACTTTCCTAACATTGCTAGCCCTCTCATTAGTTCCTTTCTTATTTCCCGGTGCTGTGTAAAAGTTCTGAGCATATGTCTTTTTCCCATGTCTCTCATGATTTGTTTGCTTAAACTGGAAGTCTCTCTGCAGCTGTCTTTGATCCATAGTTCCTAATTATTTAAAGATAATTGAATTTTATGAACATTTTCAACAATTGCACTAAGTCTGTATACCTCAATCTCACACATTTCCTCAAAATATTGTTATGGCCGCATATTCAACCCACATGCAACTTCTAAAAGGGTTAACACCACTGAAACAAACGAGGCCCACCGTGATACCTTATCATCATAAACATTCCCATTTCACTGGATCCTAAAGAAAAATTCCTATCTGATCCACTTAAGCATGGGTTTTGGTTTGAATCCAACTAAATGGAACTAATTTTCTTTAGTATTCTACTTAAAGAAATATAAATTACACAGCCCCCCAATTTTTTTTTCTTATTTTAACTTGTAGGTGATGACTCATTTTATATTAATAGGAATACATCCCACAGGAAACACAACTACTGGTCTTTCTTGGACTTATAGCAACTCGTTTCTAACTTCCATAATTACCTTAACTACAATAGGTAGGTATTGCATTTTTCTTTTAACTTAGGATATTAAATACTTTAGAATTGTTTTTGCATGAAGTATTGTCTACATATAACCCATACCTTTATATGGTATCTTAGATTTAATGAAATAAAGTAGTTTAAGGGGCACTAACTCTACTAAGATAAAGGGGGGAAGCTAGCAATATTTTGGCTGCCTACAACAGACAATTTTCCCCCCTACATTCGGGTTCCTTAAAATCTTGGCTTGAGGCTATGGTCTCTGAACCAGGAATTACGGGGAATAAAAAAAGTTCCCTTCCACACATACTATTTCAACAAGATATGTTTCAGAAATAGGAAAAATGTTCCCAAATAAGTCAAATGAGACTTAGTTCTTTCTTCCACTCCCCAGAAAGCTACATTACCAACTCTTGGGCAAAAAAGGGGCCCCTAAATGAGAATAAGGAGCCCCTGAACAGGGTAGGTACGTTATAGTCGCAGAACAGATGTAAATGTGGCCGTAGCGAATGCTGTAAGAATAAACCAGAATGTGGAATGATGGGGGCGGGGGGAATTAACCGTGGGGGGTAAGTACTTAAGTACTTTATATAATACCAGGAATCAGGAATTTATAAAGAAAATCTAAACAGAGGTTTAAGAATATTGTTTAAAAGTACAAAGGCAAATACAAAAGAATAAAAAGTAGCCATATAGCATGATGAAGGTGGTGCCTACGAATTGAATCCCTATCTTATATGTTAAAAATAGCAATAAAAATATGATCTAAAATTTAAACTAGATAAATCAACACATGGCTATAGAACCACACCTATGAGTCTAATTCAACAGGGTAGTTTTGAGGTAAGAACTGCCCCACAAAAGTCATCTCACCCTGCAGAGAGGCTCTGGCCTTTTATATTCCTGGGTCAGACAGCTGTTGGTGTAGGTGTGGGCACACCTGCCAGTGAGCCGGCTCCATGGGGCCTAAGGCAGTTCTCATCTCAAGAGAAAGGGAAACACAATGGAAACAGACGCATGGACACAGAGAACAAGTTGATGGTGGCCAGAGGGGAGAGGGTTGGCGGATCAGGTGAAAAAGGGGAGGGGATTAAGAACTACAAATCGGTAGTTACAAAATAGTCATGAGGATGTAAAGTACAGCATAGGGCATATAGTGAATAAGGTTGTAATAACTATGCATGGTGCCAGGTGCGTACTGGAAATACTGGGGAGAACACTTTGTAAAGTATATGACTGCATAACCACTATGCTGTACACATGAAACTAATATAAAATAATATTAAATGTAAACTGTAGCTAAAAAATAAAATTACAAAAAGTAAAAAATATCCCTGGCTGGTGTGGCTCAGTTGTCTGGGAGTTGTCCCCTGCACTGGAAGGTCTCCTGTTCGATTCCTGATCAGGGCACAAGCCCAGGTTGTGGCTCAATCCCCGGTAGGGGGCATGCAGGAGGCAGCTGATCGATGTTTTGTCCTCATGTGGATGTTTCTGTCCCTCTCCCTTTCTCTCTCTCTAAAGGGAATCTGAGTGAGGCCCAAGAGCAGAAAGTCTAGCATGCATTCATGTTTTCCATTCATTTTTAGGGAGAGTGGAAGGGAGGGAGGGAGTGGGAGATAGAGAGAGAAACATCGATTGGAGAAAGCCGCATCGATTGGTTGCCTCCTGCACGTGCCCTAAATGGGACTGGGGGTTAAACCTGCAACCCAGGTACATGCCCCTGACTGGGACTCAAACCCAAGACCCTTTGTGCATGGTCTGACACTCTAACCACTGAGCCACACCGGCCAGAGCCAGCATGCTTTCTTAGAATTAGTTGATGCTATTAATTTTCTTATTTAATTGTAGTAGAACGTGCTAAATGAAGAAAACTTGGAAAATGTACAACGACACAATTTTTAAGTAATTGACCATAATCTCACTGCTCCACACACAATAACCGTTAACCTTTGTCATAGAAAGTTACGCATTTATGGAATGACAATATACAATTTTCAAACGCTTTCTCAGAGCAATGTATTGGTATCTATCTCACATAGACTCTAATATAATTTTAATAGACATCAGACTATTTCGTTATATTTATATATCATAACGTACATGATCACTTTCCTTTATTGTTGAACATTGATGGTGATTCTATTTTTCAAAATTTGAAATAGTGATACTGTGAAAAACCTTTTTTATTTTAGCTTACATTTCTTGATTATTTTCTTAAGATCTAGCTAAGTCACTGTGGATTTTTTTTTTTTAAATATGTGCTGTGTGTGTTGGTGCTATTAGAATACCAGCGACTGAAAATTCGCCCTCAAAGCCCAGTGTTAAATGCGCATATTGTAGCAAGCTTCCATACTGAGGTGCATTGCATTTATCTTGTTTTCTCTTATCAGGTTGTGGGACAGTGTTTCCTCAGACTCCTAGTGGACAGATGTTCTGTGTTGTCTTTGCTGCAATTGGAATCCCTCTAACTATTATAATCTTTAAACATATTGGTTCATTAATTTTTCAGCCATTTGAAAAATTTGGAAACTACCTTAAACATAAGGGAGTAAGTGAGGTAAGATCTCTCTCTCTCTCTCTCTCTCTCTCTCTCTCCACTCGGTCACACACACACACACACACACACACACACACCTGGTAGAAAAATTTTGTTCCTTTAAATATATATATATCTACACACACACACACACACACACACACACACACACATTCACAAACTTAGATTGACTAGGCACATGACATGTATAAATACTTACTGACCTCATGTTGAATGAAATTTGTAGGAGTAGAAAGAGCAAGTGATTCTGTGCTACAAAACAATTGAGAAAATCCAGTGTTCAAGAGACCACCTGTTTCCTCTTAGATAATTTGCCTCTAATCATTGAACTTACAATAAGATGAGTAGTGGTGACTTGTGTATGAACTAAGTGTTCTCCGAAGTCATGCAGTCAACTCCTCTATTTCACAGAACAAGAAAACAGTTCACAAAGGCTAGGTGACTTGCTCAAGGTTACCCAGAGAAGTAGTGGCAGCGGGGCACTAACCCCAGAGGTGTTTGGACGAAGGCTTTGACCACATCTCAAGTTGAATCATGTGTGGTTAGCTCAGTAATTAGCACAGGTTTTACTCTTTTAAAAAAATGACAATACAGTTCTTTATTAAAATAATTGAAAATTTATTATAAAATAGACATTCTTTAAGAAGGTATTTTATTTTCTATAAAGAAATATAAAGAAAGGGTCCCCTTCAGAGAGCCCAAGGGAGCAGGTGAGATTCACATTAATCACTGATGTTATCAGTCCTTCAAAAGAGGGTGCTACTTTCTTTGTTATTTCTTTGTGCCCTTTTTATAGGTGTGTGGTTACTGTAGGGTCTGCTTTGTTGTTAGATTAGAATTGCATTGCCACAAAAGAAAATACAGTACACCTTGAGCTCTAATGTGATCACTATAACAAATTAATATCAAAACATTAATCTCCTTATGCAATAGTATGTTTTTTTAAATCAGCCCTGTTATTTGTGGTTCTTAGAACTTACAGTCCTGCCCTGGCCGGTTTGGCTCAGCGGTTAGAGCGTCGGCCTGCGGTCCTGAGAGACCCGGGTTCGGTTCCCGCTAAGGGCACGTACCTCGGTTGCAGTTTGTCCCCGGCCCTGGTTGGTTGTGTGGGTGGCAACCACTCGATGTGTTCCTTTCACATCGATGTTTCTCTCTCTCTCTCTGTTCCTCTCTCTCCCTCTCACTCTACCTGAACAAAAAATGAAAAAATGCCCTCAGGTGAGGATAAAAAAAAAAAAAGAACTTACAGTCCCTGGTGATGTGAATTAAATTATATTTAAATGTAAGTAAATTATATGTACATACATAAATGATAAACAAATTTTCTGAATGTTCATTTACTTATCAATGCTTGGTGAAGGCATAAAATATGGATTTTTGTTCTTTTGTTTGCCTTGCATCTCATGTAGCGCTGGCCAGCAATACAGGCAAAAGGTACTGAATGAATAACAAATGATGAGTCTCTAATAAATGAGTAAAGACTTGAATCATATCATAAAAAGAAATTGATAAATAAGAAATTATAAGATGAGTGTCTTGATTTTGTTTGAAAGTATATAGTTAGTTCTGTGGGACTCTCAATAAATGATATATTTATTGATGCCAATTAGTACCCTGATATTTCAGCTGACAGTTACCTAACTTTCCTTATGATGCAAGCAAGCAGGAAGGCTTGGTGCTGTGTCCAGATTGGGGTCCCGGGCTAGGCTGGGGTGTGTGGGCAGAGCCCAGAGCAATGAGGAAATATATATCCCTGATATCTAGGCAAGGATAGTCTTAGAAGGAAGCGTGGGGTGTTAAAGTGTATATGAAAATAAATCTTAATTCAAGGTCTAGAGGCAGAGAATAGTAAAGAAAAAAGAAAAGAGATGGACAAACAAAGGATGCTGAACAGGAGTACAGTGACAGAGCCTGGACATTCTCCTAGGGGCAAACTTATTCAAAGGAAGGCTCCTTTATAGGGCTCTAAGCTTTAGAACAATGAAGGAGTAGATAAGAACACTAAACAGAGCAAGCACGTTTCTGAAGGCTGCTGGTTTATGATATAATTGCTAACATTGTATCTCTTTTTCCAATATATTTTAGAAAAATCTTTCTCTTTGGAAGATGGTATTTTTCATTACAACTGGATCAGTTTTGTTTCTGGTATTACCACCATTTTTTCTCATGCCATTAGAAAATTGGACTTATATTGAAGGAATTTATTACTCATTCATCACCATAAGTACTATTGGTTTAGGCGACTACACAATAGGTGAGTCTTAATAATCTTGAAATGAGGTTCACTATCACAGCAACAGACTGGAACAGAATGGTAAAAAGGGGGATGTGAGGGGCTCCACTAGAAATGTTAACAGATTTCTTTGAAAGATCAGATAAAGTTCAAGCCCTTTTAAATAAATCTCCAATGTATAAATAAATCCACCCATCCTCCTTCCTCTCTCTTCATACCAAAGTTATCACTATCAGAATAAAATACAAAATAATTCCTTTTAAACAAAATATTTCTGTATAACCACAAATAAATAGAAGGCATGTGCACACACACACACACACACACACACAGAGTTTAAGAGATTAATCCTATATCATAGCTTTTCCAAAAATTGTTTCAAATTTCTCCCTAAAATAAAGATGTGAAAAGGAAAGGGGAAGAGCCATACAGACATTAGGTGTTTCCACAAATATCTGTAAATCATAATTAACATAGCTCATCAATTATTTTGAGTATAGAGTTCAAAATTGGTAGTTATTTTTTTATTTTTGCAATATTTTGAAGATGCCATTCCATTGTTTCTGGCTTCCATCATTTCTGATGATAAGTCAGCTATAGTCTTATTGTTAGTCCTTTGAAGTAAGGAGCCTTTCCCTCCCCCTCCCCCACCCCCACCTACTTTTAATCTTTTATTTTTGTCTTTGGTTTTCAACAATTTAACTATAATTTGCTTTAGTTTGGTGTGCATTGTATTGATTCTGCTTGGGGATGACAGAGATTATTGAATTGAGGAATTGAAATCTTTTATCTGTTTTGAAAAATTCTCAGCTACTATGTATTTGAATGCTGTCTATTTCTTATTTTCTCTCCAACTTCTGAGACTGCAGTTAATGAATGTAAGACCTCCTCACTGCGTTTCACATGTTCTAATATGCTTTCTGTATCTTCTGTATCCTCTCTGACTTCACTTAGGATATTTCCTACTTACTAACTTCTAGTTTACTGATTCTAACATCTGTTTTATGTAATGTGCTTTTAAATTTATATAATGAGTTCTTAACATTAATATAACAGTTTTTTTACTTATAAAGTGTCCATGTAATCCCTCCCTTTTGGTAGGTTCCCATTCTTTGGTGAAATCCTTCATCTTTTTATCTACTTTTCTATATTATCTTATATTTTTGAAAAACCATAATAATTATAAAACAATTTTTTACTTCAAATTCTGTATTTTTATTTCTAGCATTCCCATTTGCTTGCCATTAAGTTTCCATCTCTCTGCTGAAATTTACCCCGAATATTTTCTATGTTATCCACTGTTTCTACTATATCCTTTATCATATTTGTCATAGTTATTTTCCCCCAATTTTTATTAATATATTTTTGTTACAGATGTTTCTCCTTTCCCCTCCCTAGACACCGTCCTCCCCATCCCACCCTCCCCTCCCCCCTAGCATTGTTGTCTATGTCCATTGGTTATACCTACATGCATATAAGTCCTTTGGTTCATCTCATCCATCCCCCACCCCCCCAACTCTGAGGTTTGTCAGTCTGAACCGTACTCCTTTCTATCTCTCTGGGTCTGTTCCATTCATCAGCCCACCTTGTTCATTATATTCCACAAATAAGTGAGATCATGTGGTATTTTCTTTCTCTGATTGGCTCATTTCACTTAGCATAATTCTCTCGAGGTCCTTTCATGCTGTCTCAAAGGATAAGAGATCTTTCTTTCTTACAGCTGCATAGTATTCCATTGTATATATGTACCACAGCTTTTTTTTTATCCACTCGTCTACTGATGGACACTTGGGCTGTTTCCAGATATTAGCTATTGTAAGTAGTGCTGCTATAAACATAGGGGTACATATCTTCTTTCTGATTGATGTTTCAGGCTTCTTAGTATATATTCCTAGAAGTGGGATCACTGGGTCAAATGGCAATTCAATTTTTAATTTTTTGAGGAAGCACCATACTGTTTTTCACAGTGGCTGCACTAGTCTGCGTTCCCACCAGCAGTGTACTAGAGTCTCCTTTTATCCACACCCTCACCAGCACTTGTTTTATGATTTGTTGATGGCAGCCATTCTGACAGGTGTGAGGTGATACCTCATTGTTGTTTTAATTTGCATCTCTCTGATGATTAGTGACGTTGAGCACTTCTTCATGTCTCTTGGCTATTTGTATGTCCCTTTTGGAGAGGTGTCTGTTTAGGTCCTCTGCTCATTTTTTTAATCTAATTATTTTTAATTATTTATTTTTGTTACAGATGTTTCTCCTTTCTCCCCCATTGACACCCTCTTCCCCCTCCCTCCCTGCCCTATCCCCAGCTTTGTTGTCCATGTCCATTGGTTATGCACACATGCATATAAGTTCTGTGGTTTATCTGTCCCCCTCCCACCCCCTCTTCTGGGGATTGTCAGTCTGTACCCTACTTCCAAGTCTCTGGGACAACCCTGTTCTTCAGACTGTTATGTTCATTATATTCCACAAATAAATGAGATCATATGATACTTGTCTTTCTCTGCTTGGCTTGTTTCCCTTAGGATAACACTTTCCAGGTTTCTCCATGTTATCTCAAAGGATAAGAGCTCTTTCTTTCTTACAGCTGCATAGTACTCCATTGTGTATATGTACCACAGCTTTTTATCCATTCGTCTACTGATGGACATTTGGGCTGTTTCCAGATCTTAGCTATTGTAAATAGTGCTGCTATGAACCTAGGAGTACATATATTCTTTCTGATTTGTGTTTTAGGCTTCTTAGGGTATAGTCCTAGAAGTGGGATCACTGTGTCAAATGGCAATTCAATTTTTAATTCTTTGAGGTAACACCATATTGTTTTTCATAGTGGCTGCACCAGTCTGCATTCCCACCAGCAGTGTTCTAGAGTCCCCTTTTCTCCACACCCTCACCAATACTTGTTGTTTGATGATTTGTTGATGGCAGCCATTACAGCAATCTTGAAAAAGAATGACAAAGTAGACAGGATCACAATACCAGATATCAGGTTATTTCCAAAATATACAGAGTGCTCATACAGCTCAACAAAAGGAAGACAAAAAACTCAATTAAAAAATGGGCAGAGGAACTAAATAGACACCTTTCCAAACAGGACACACAAATGGCTAAGAGACTCATCAAGAAATGCTCACCATCACTAATCATCAGAGAGATGCAAATTAAAACAACAATGAGGTAACACCTCTGGCCATTTTTTAATTGAGTTATTTGTCTTTCTTTTGTTGAGCTGTATGTGCACTCTATATATTTTGGAAATTAACCCCTTATCTGATGTATCATTGACAATTATGTTCTTCCATACAGTGGGTTACCTTTCCATTTTGGTGGTTGTTTCTTTTGCTGTGCAGAAGCTTTTGAGTTTGATGTAGTCCCATGTGTTTATTTTTTTCTTTGTTTCTGTTGCCTTAGGTGATGTATCAGTGAAAATTCTGCTGCATATGATGTCTAAAATTTTGTTGCCTACATTTTCTTCTAGGATTTTTATGGATTCACGAGTCACATTTAAGTCTTTTATCCATTTTGAGTTTATTCTTGTGTATGGTGTAAGTTGATGGTCTAGTTTCACTTTTTTTGCATGTAGCTGTCCAATTTTTCCAACACCATTTATTAAAGAGGTGTCTTTAGTCCATTGTATGCTCTTGCCACCTTGGTCAAATATTAATTGAGCATAATGTCTTGGGTCAATTTCTGAGTTCTCTCTTCTGTTCCATTGATCTGTATGCCCGTTCTTGTGCCAGTACCAGGCTGTTTTGATTACAGTAGCTTTGCAGTATAACCCAATATTGTGATTCCACCTACTTTGTCCTTCTTTTTTAAGATTTCTGTGGCTATTTGGGTTTGTTTGTTTTGTTTCGTTTGTTTATTTGTTTTTTTGGTTCCATATGAACTTTTGAAGTATTTGTTCTAGTTATGTGAAATATGTCATTGGTATTTTGATGGGAAGTGCATTGAATCTATAGATTGCTTTAGGTAGAATAGACATTTTAATGATGTTAATTCTTCCAATCCATGAACAAAGTATGTGCTTCCACTTTTTTATATCTTCCTCTATTCCTTTACTCAATGTCCTGTAGTTTTTTGGAAATAGGTCCTTTACTTCTTTGGTTAAGTTTATTCCTTGGCATCTTAATTTTTTTTGCCACAGTGGCAAATGGGATTGTTTTTTTTAGTTTCTCTTTCTGTGAGTTCATTATTGGTGTGTAAGAATGCCATCGATTTCTTGATGTTAATTTTGTATACTTCTACTTTGCCTAATTTGTTTATTAAATCTAGCAGATTTTTGATAGAACCTTTAGGGTTTTCTATGTATAATATCACGTCATCTGCGAATAAGGACAATTTCACTTTCTTCTTTTCAATTTGGATCCCTTTATTTTTTCTTCCTGTCTGATTGCTGTGGCTAAGACTTCCAGTACTATGTTAAATAAAAGTGGTGAGAGTGGGTATTCCTGTTCTTAAGGTAAATGCTTTTAGTTTCTGCCCATTGAGTATAATGTTGGCTGTAGGTTTTTTATATATGGCCTTTATTATGTTGAGATATGATCCCTGTATTCCCACATTGCTGAGCATTTTTATCAGAAATGGGTGCTGGATTTTGTCAAATGCTTTTTCAGCATCTGCTGATATGATCATATAATTTTTATCTTTCATTTTGTTTATGTGGTGTATCACATTTATTGATTTGTGAGTATTGTACCAGCCTTGCATCCCTGGGATGAATCCCACTTGATTATGGTGAATAATTTTTTTTAATGTATTGCTGGATGTGATTTGCTAGTATTTTGTTCAGGATTTTGGCATCTATGTTCATCAGGGATATTGGCCTGTAGTTTTCTTTCTTTGTAGTGTCTTTATCTGGTTTTGGAATTAGAATTATGCTGGCTTCATAAAGCGAGATTACAAGTTCTACTTCTTGAATTTTTGGGAATAGTTTGAGGAGAATGGGTGTTAGTTCTTTTTTGAATGTTCGGTAAAACTCCCCCGTGAAACCATCTGGGCCTGGGCTTTTGTTTGCTGGG